TATGGAATATATTACTAATACAGCAAACAAAATACAAGAAATTTATAAGATAAAGAAACCGATGAGGATCTCATCAGAAGAAGAGGAAGATTGGGCTGAAGCTAAAACATGTTACATGTGCCAAAATGTATTTAATGAAAATAATATAAAAGTTAGAGATCATTGCCACCTAACAGGAACTTACTTAGGACCATCTTGTAATAATTGTAACTTAAAACGTATAAATCCCTCGTTTATACCCGTTATAATGCATAACTTGAGTAATTATGACTCACATTTCATAGTGAAGGAATTGGGAAATAATCCTGGAGAAGTTGAAGTAATACCGAATAATGAAGAAAAATACATATCGTTCACAAAACATGTGGGTAAAATAAAATTGAGATTTATAGATTCCTTCAGATTCATGCCACGAAGTTTAGATTATCTTGTACAATCTCTATCTATGGATAAATTCAAAGAAACTTCAAAATATTACAAAGATGACGAATTAGCATTGGTTACTAGGAAAGGTGTGTTCCCATACGATTATATAGACGATGAAGAAAAATTAAGTGAAACAGAGCTTCCACCCATTGAAGCTTTTTACAATAAATTATCTAATACTAATATCAGCTTTGAAGATTATACACATGCTCAAAACATTTGGAAACAATTCAAATGTAAATCTTTAGGGGAATACGCAGATATTTATGTTAAAACTGACGTTCTGTTACTCTGTGACGTCTTCGAATCTTTCCGAAGTGTTATGATGAAGACCCATAAACTGGATCCAGCTCATTATTTTACCGTTCCCGGCTTAACGTGGGACGCCATGTTGAAATATACAAAAATGAACATAGAGCTCTTACAAGATTACGATATGATCTTAATGATAGAACATGGGATTCGAGGAGGTTTGTGTCAGGTATCGCACCGATATGCAGAAGCAAATAATAAATACATGAGTAACTTCAATTCAAACGAAGAATCTAGCTACATAATTTATTTAGATGCGAATAATCTTTATGGGCAATCAATGAGCATGTATTTACCGTATGGAGGATTCCAGTGGGTTAAAAACCCAGAATCAATAAACATATTCGATCTGGAGGACGAAGATGAAGTCGGATATATTTTTGAAATCGATATTAGCTATCCTAAAGAACTGCATCATAATCATAACGATTTGCCCTTTTTACCTGAATCACTCTTACCACCACAAGCCAAATGTAATTCAAAAAAATTATTAACGCACTTCGGAAAAAGAACCCGCTACGTCCTCCATTATAAAAATTTGATACAAGCCTTAAAACATGGCTTAAAATTAGAAAAAATTCATCGTGCTTTAAAATTTAACCAATCACCATGGCTTCGCTCGTATATAGAATACAACACAGATTTGAGAAAAGGAGCCTGCAACGACTTTGAAAAAGATTTTTATAAGTTACTGAACAATGCAGTTTTTGGTAAGACTATGGAAAACATTAGGAATCATCAAAATATTCAGCTAGTAACTGACAGTAAAAAGTTAATGAAACTGATTACCAAACCAAATTTTATAGACCGAACTATCTACAATGAGAATATAGTAGCTGTACATATGGGAAAACCCAAAGTATTGTTTAACAAACCCATATACATTGGAATGTGCATATTAGATTTATCCAAAACTGTGATGTACCAATTTCATTATGATACAATGTTGCAAAAATATTCCAATAATAACTTAAAGATGATGTATACAGATACAGATTCGCTTATTTATAAAGTTTTAACAGATGATGTCTTTGAAGATATGAAAAAAATGCACCATTATTTCGATTTCTCTGATTATCCTAAAAATCATTTCTGTTTCTCAGATGAAAATAAAAAAAAGTTAGGAAAGTTTAAAGATGAATTAAATTCAAAAATAGTTTTAAAATATGTTGGGTTAAGAGCCAAAATGTACGCCGTCATGATGGAAGATTGTGTAAAGAAGCGTGCTAAGGGTGTAAAAGTGTCATCGTTAAAACAATATATCACTTTTGAAGACTATGAGCAAGTGTTATTAAACAATGAAATTATGCATACACCTATGAGATCGATACAATCAAAGGAGCATAATATTTTTAGTACCGAGATAAATAAAGTTTCCCTTTCTCCATTTGATGATAAAAGACACATATTAGAAGATGGGGTCAATACTTTGGCCTACGGTCATTATGAATTGGCTGAGTTGAACAAATTGAAATAAAAAATAATATTTAAAAATTAAAAAAAAAATATTAAACAAAAAGAAAATACAAAAAAAAAAATGTTTTAAGAAGTTTGTTATTTTCTAGTAGATTTTTTTTTGTTTTTGGTCACTGGCATGGTATTGATTTACCTGTAAACCAATGTGTGTGTGTGTGTGTGTGTGTGTGTGTGTGTGTGTGTGTGTGTGTGTGTGTGTGTGTGTTTGTGATTTGGTCACTGGCATGGTATTGATTTACCTGTAAACCAAAAGTATGTGTGATTTGGTCACTGGCATGGTATTGATTTACCTGTAAACCAAAAGTATGTGCGATTTGGTCACTGGCACGGTATTGATTTACCTGTAAACCAAAAGTGTGTGTGTGTGTGTGTGTGTGTGTGTGTGTGTGTGTGTATGATTTGGTCACTGGCGAGGCTATAAACGCCCGTAAACCACCTGACCCTCTCGATGCATCTTCACCTTGACGTGGTGAGAGGGCTTAAAGCTGTAAGCTGAACTAAGAAAGATGCACATAATTACCTAAATGTACATGGACAGTTCTTCGTAATATTATATTTCTTATACAAAGAAAACCACTTTTTAAAATGAAAATACTCCTTCTCATTATCCGCTTAAAGTTTAATAAATAATATGCTAATTTAATTATTATAAATAATATAAAGTTTAATAAATAATATGCAGTATTAGTTACTGGTTGGTTTACAGATTATATAATTAGGATAAACATGTAATGTTCAAAGGCTACAATTTAAAATAAATAAAACAGAGTTTAAAGGCTAAAATGAACGATACAGTGTTTAAAGGCTCAATAATTTTAAATGAAGAAAACGATCTGTAAAGGCTAGAATATTTAAATGTAAGAAACAGTGTTTAAAGGCTAACATTACTGAACGATTTAAAGTGAGCACAACAGTGTTTAAAGGTCACAATTTTTGAGCGATTTATTATGAACGAAACAGTGTTTAAAGGCTAAAATTTTTGGCGGGTAATGGGCGCCGCCATCTTGCACCGAGGACCTGCGCCAGGATCGGCCTTTTCTATCTACTCCCAGAAATTTATTTTATTTTTTAAACAATTATATTTACTTATTATTTTACTTGCATACGAGTATGGAACTTGAGTTGTTTTCTATATAAATATATACTTTTCTCTTTTTCTTATGTTGTTTTATCTTGAAAATAATTCTTATCAAGGTGAGTATTATATGATAATTCTGATTCATATATTTTCTATATAAGAATAAGAGAAAACGAAAAGATATAAAAACAAAATAATCACTCGTTAAATAAATAAACAATATTATACAAAACAAACCCTTCCCAGAGTATCACAGCGAAATCTGCCAGCTGGTCATGATAACTTGAACCCCCAAAAGCTAATGGTGGATTTTCATCTATTAATATTTTATAATTATAAACTATTTTTAGCCAGTGACATTCGAAATAAAAGTTTCGTTATATTCAATTCATCAGATTTGAATTTAAACCAAAGTTCTAGCAAAACAGGTCCAAATGAGGATGTTCTTAGGGATTTGGTAAATTATGCATACATGTTATGTGTGTTGATGGTTTGCCGTCTGATAAATAAAGACGATACTCCGTGAGTCGGTTAGAAATTACATCAAATAAGCTTTAATTTATTCAATGCTATTTATGATACGCTGTCGATACGCTATTATCCATTACATATTTTATGTTGATTAAAAATTACTTAAAAATATATAGAGAGAACTAAAATTTAAACAATGGCTAAATCAACAAAAATAGATTATAAAAAATAAACACCTCAAAAAAAAACATAAGAAATATTCTGGGAAAAAATATAAAATTAAAGATTAAAGCGATTCCACACAAAATAGTATTAAATAGAGTGGAGAGGAAAATGTGGCTGAGAAGGAGGTATTTGAACGTGAAGACGCTTAAGGTATTCTAGTTACAAGAAAGAGTTCCAGAAGATGACAAATCGGGTAAAGAAGAGCTTGTCAAACGCAGCAGTTCGGCTGGGAGGAGGGTAAAAGTCAGAAGGACGAGATCGGGCAGGACGTGGTTGAGTGGAAGATTTAAATTGCAGGTTCTGCAATATGTAGGATGAGCACTGATTTCTGAAAATTTTGTATAGAAAGAACGCAAATTGGTGTAAAAAATTACATGATAAATAAATAATTAAATATTGAACATATTAACTTTAATATTTCAACCACTTTGATATAGTTGAGATTGGTTATTCCTTTCTAATAAATGCCTATTACTGTTAAATTCCTAACTCTAGAACTTCCTCTAAAGTGTCGAGTACCTCAAAACATCAGTTTTTCAATTGCGACTGCTTCGCATTCAACGGTTCAAATATTTCCTGTTCCAAATGTTTTTCAGGAAATCTTTAGAATAGGAATAAGATAATTGCTATTATTTTATTAAATATCTTAACATAATATTCGTAATCCTATTCAAAATATTAACACTTTTGTTTTTTTAATGCACATGTATTCAGAGGAATCAAAGATGCGACGGTATTTCCGACAAATCTCCTCCCCAGGGTCCTCCGGATTGAAGTGGCAATAGAGATAACGAGGAATTACGGAATCTCTGTCACGAGGCCTTTAAATTCAGCTGCACTTGACAAGATAATCCAGTCCACCTACTGTGCGGTTTCGAATCCTGTGTGATAATGTAACGGATTTTTTGTCAATAGTCGACTAAAGAAACATTTCATTTATTCTCATTTTTCAATAAAACTATTCTCATAGATTCTCAATTCGATATCTTCTTTTCGCATAACTGCCGGAAAAATGCCGAAAAATATAGCCAAGTACTTCATGAAATGCAGAGATGTGTACGGGTGTGCCATTCCTAAGTAAATATTTTATTATATCAGTAGATTGTGTTTACATTTATAAGTAATGCTTAGTTGTTAACATGTTTTATCCATGATTATCATCCATATTGTTTTCAATTTTGTCTGTTTCAACTTCATATGATTTGAGTCTGCTCTAATTCATCTTAAAAGTAACATAACTAATGCTTGAGTTAAATATAAAAAAAGATAAAGTAATTCATAGTTATTAGTCCGTATAATTGAATTTGACTCATTGTTTTATTAATATATGGCCCTAAGTATATAAACTACATTTTTTTATTAATATATGTCCATAAATGAATAAACTATCCATATCGTTAATGTAATCAATGCTACACTTCACCCCGTCGGGCGCCAATTTATTTCATTTTATTTTTGGTTTATTATTTTAAGTTTTTCAAATAAAAGTTACAAAGTTCTTTATTGTATTAAAATTTAAGGTTTATCGTATAAGTTTGTCTTTTATTTAATTAAGTTCATAAAAAAATATTGGTAAATAAAGAAAAAAAAATAGTACTCAGACATAGATTGGAATTATAATTCATCTTCCAATTAAATGAATCATTTGATAGTAATGTGTCATTTATTGGAGTAACTAAGAATAAATCAATTTTTAGATCGAGTAATTGGCGAAATCAAAAGAACTTGTAAGAGTATTTTTTTTTTTAACTATTATTATGATATTTACAACTGTATTAGTATGAATACATCAAGTAAATGTGTACATAGGTATATTATCACATGAAACACGCTTGTTGAGAAACTACCCATTGGTAGCACTCTATAGAGTATTTTTAAAGTTTAAGTTTAGAAAAACCTAAACTTGGGTGCTAAAAGTTTCAATAGAAAAAGTTCTCCTTCCAAAATAACAAAAATAAATATTGGAAATAAAGATTTCAGTCAAATTAAAATTTATTAAAAATAAAAGATTAAAATTAAATTTCAAGTCCTGACAAAAATTAATATAGTAAAAAAAATCTGGTGCGCGCAACACACAACTTTCACCGTATAAGTATTGCTTAGTTGTTAACATGTTTTATCCATGATTATCATCCATATTGTTTTCAATTTTGTCTTTTTTAACTTCATAGTCGCTCTACTTCATCTTAAAACTAACATAACTAATGCTTGAGTTAAATAAAAAAAAAGATAAAGTAATTGATCGGTGTTAGTCTGCATAATTGATTTTGACTCATCGTTTTATTACTATACGTCCCTAAATATATAAACTACATTTTTTGTTAATATTTGTCCATAAATGAATAAACTATCCATATGGTTAACGTAATCAATGCTACACTTCACCCCGTCGGGCGCCATTTTCTTTTATTATTTTCAATAATGAACCATTGTGATCGACCGAAAAAATTCAAAAACTTAACCCCCTCTCAAAATTTGAGGTGTTACGTTTGAGGATACGTAGAATTCGAAAAACAAATAATTTTTTTTTTGTCCGTCCGAGCATTTTCTCCAAAACTACTGGACCGATTATTTTCAAATTTGGATATAAAATCAGAGGTCACCTGAGGATGATCCTCCTTCATTGACATTACTATCCGCCTTTTACTTTCAAAATGGCGGCCGAAAAAACTGCGTTGCTATAGACTGTAGCGCCTAAACGAATGTACCTATTTCAATGAAACTTCGCTAACGTCCTTTAAATTTATCTATATAACATACTTCAACCAAAAGAAGCAGGAAAAAAGTTACGAGGGATGACAAAATTAAATTCCGAATAAATAGAAAAATATACACTTTTTGTTGATATTTTATATGTTTTTTTTAAGCTTACGGAATGTACTAAAAATATTTCGTTAAGATTGGATAATTAGGAGTAAAGATATGGTTTATAGTTTTTTCTTTATGTTCTACTGTAAAGGTTATATCCTTTGTTTGGTTTTTGGATTTTGAATGAGTTACTGAAGTAAAGGTAATTTTTTTTTAGCATATTACTAATGATTAAAAAAAAAGTTTAGTCAAATAATTGGAATCACCTTTCATTTATTTTTCTTTGTAACTAGGAAGGTAATGTTACTTTATATGTATAATTGTTTGGAAATAATAAACTACGGTGAAATATTTTGCAGCGTCTTTTTTTTATTATTTTATTGATAATTGAATAATATTACATTCTGTCTCAAACAAGGACAATGATAAAAGTGACGAACGAACACACTCACACCACTCAGGTATCTAATAAATTAAAAAACAAGACTTTACCATTTAATGCTACTGACTGGTTAGCACATATTCAGTAGGTGATTCACGTCGAACTAAACAAAAATTAAAAGCATAGCAAGTTATATATTTAATTTTTGCCAATATTCATTAAAAATGCAAAATGTATCACTAAAAATCACGAATATTTCTGGAAGAGTAGATAATCCGATGTTTCTGGCTCAAATGCTCGGCAATCAATACATGTGCTTTTTTCCGGAGCTACACTCAAATAATAATAAATGATATTAATGAGAAATACTTTCTCTTATTCTACATAACAGCGTTACACTGATAAATGCCTCGGTATAACTTAAAACTTAAAATGAAGGTTGGGAGTAAAGAAAAATTAAATACATAATTCAAAAGTAGAAGGGAGTTTCAAAAATATTGATAAGTGCATCTGAGGAAGATTTTTAAACAAATCATACATAAAGTTAAGAAAATCTTAATGACGCAGAAGATGATTAGTCTCGTTGATTTTTTACATTAATAATCCTTTGATTGAAACAGGAAAGTCATGTAGAAGAAGAGATTCTGTTTCCTTAAAAAAACATCATATGTGTTATCCAATAAGACCCAATATAAAGCAGGAAAGAAAAGAACATAAAAAACATAGATGAAGTTTGATGTTGAAGATGACAAAGTTTTCACCAATCAAATACTGATGAAAAGACTAAGAAAGATTTAATTTTGTATAAAATCAGTAGTTAAAATTTTTATAGAACTTTTTTTTTAAAGTTTCATATTAACAGTTTCTGTGAAACATTTTAAGAAAATTAAGTTTTTTAAATACAAGTTTTACGGTACTCTATTGTATTAAAATTTAAGGTTTATGGTAAAAGTTTGTCTTTTCTTTATTTAAGATATTAAATATAGTTATGGTAAATGAAGAAAAAAAATAGTACTCAGACGTAGGATTGGGCTTATAATCCATCTTCCAATTAAATGAATCACTTGATTAATTTGTCATTTATTGGAGCAACTAAGAATAAATTAATTTTTAGATGGAATAATTGGCGAAATCAACAGAACTTGTAAATAAGAGTATTTTTAAAGTTTAAGTTTAGAAAAACCATAACTTGAATACTAAAAGTTGCAATAAGTTCTTGTTCCGAAATAACACAAATAAAAATTTGAAATAAAGATTCCAGTCATATTAAAATTTATTAAAAATAAAAGTTAAAATTTCATTTCAAGTCCTGATAAAAATTAATATAGTAAAAAAAAAATCTGGTGCGCGCAACACACAACTTTCACTTACCGCTCAACTTTGAATAAAAATTATTTTCTGGCCATGATGAGATATTATAATAGTTTTGAATTATATTTTTAATTGAACTAAAGATAAAAGATTGTAGCTAACAAATCATAAATACTATTAAAATAATAAAAGTCCTATTTATTATATCCCGATTGACTATGAATAGTACGATTCCTTTATTATGTATTGCACGACTATTAGTTATTAAACTGTTATTTTCCATTGCAAAGTTTACTAAAACGGAATTAAGAGATTTGCATTATCTCTCATAGACAGGTTAAAAGTTGTCACACTGATTGTAAGTGGATTCTATTGAAAATCGCAAAGGGAAAATTGATCAAATTATTCACTAATTTAATTTTCTAAAAGGTTATTGTGAATATACGGACGATAAATACCTAATTATTTAAATATAATATCACATCTAGATTTATTAAACTACAGTAAATATATTTAAGGTTATAAACGTATCCATGAAATACTTTTATATTTCACTTCTTCTTTTACACAAGTACAATGAAATAGTATCTTAAACAATGTCATTGCCTTGATACTGTGAGTTTTAAATGCCCAAACTTAAAAAAAAAATTTTGAAGTTTACATTTAGCAAGAAAATTTCATTTAATTTCATTGAAAACACCTGATTTACGCTAAATAATGTTAGTTTTCTCAAATTATTTAAATTGTTTTTGCCATTCTCCGTTATCTTCTACAACTTTCTGTATTAGATTTTTTTTTTTTTTTTTTTGTAAAATTCTCTGTTTACTTTTTTTAAATTTTTTGTATACTTTCTGACTAGTATTTTCGGATATTCATTTTCGACCTGAATAAGCATTTTTTTTTCTCCTTTATTTAATTATCACATTGTTCCAAAAGTCATATTTAGCATTTTCTCATAACTCCTAACAATGAGAAATAGTTATTATTTATAATAACCTAAATTAACGGTACTTTAGAGAAAGATATGATAATGTTAGGATTTCACAAAAGTTACGTGACAAGTTTTCGGAATAAGCGTTGATACCTAATTAAGTTAGATATAATATCAGATCTATAATCACACTAAACTACAGAAAATTTAAATAACGTTATAAACATATGCTTTATACATTCATGAAATGATTTTATGTTTTACTTCTTCTTTCAAACAAGTTCAATGAAATAGTTTTTATAACAATGCCATTGCCTTGATTAGGTGGATTTTAAATACTTTTTACAAACTTAAAAATATTTCTTAAAGTTTACATTTAGTTAGTAAATTTCATTTGATTTCCTTGAACACATGTGCTTTACGTTAAATATTATTAGTTTTCAAAAACTATTATTTATAATTGTTTCGCCACTCTCCGTTATTTTCTACAACTTTCTATATCAGATATTGTTTTTTCTAAAATTCTCCGCTTTCCAAAGATATATTATACATCTAACTTCTTACTAGTAATTCCGGAAATTCATTTTCGACCTGGACAAGCATTTATATTTTTTTCTCCTTTATTAAATTATCAAATTCTTTCAA